AGATTCTCCTTCTTGCATCCTACTCTGGTTAACCACAGTGATGCCCTCATGATCTCACCTCTCTGAGCGCTGCTGGTCCAGCCTGAGCGCAGAGGCAGCAGCTGCCTCTCTGGAGGTGGTAGAGCCCTCCTCCAGCTTGGCAGAAAGAAGTGCTATTGCCAGGACCTGCTCTGCAAATCTCTTTGAGGAAAGCAGAGCAAAATGATGTCCAGGATGGTGCAGAGCGTGCTGGGTGGAAGGGCCACAGCTCTGCCTCCCGCAGGAAAGGATAAGCAATATGTGGATTTTCCCTGCATGGTGCCACTGCTCTGTGGAGGAGGGCTTGGAGGGGGGTACTGTGACAACGTGCATGAAGCTTGAGTGGAGAAGGCAGCTTTGTGTTAAAGAAGATAGGAATTATTCTGGTTGTAGATGGAGAATTATGCATGGGGAGACTGGAATATGGGTTACAGCAGTGTTTAGCGTGAGCTGCCATAAAGAAAGGAAAATACTGTAAAAGGTAATGCCCAGCAGCAGCATGGCTACATATTAGAAGACAAATGTTATTAGAGAGAATACTGCTTTCATGCAGAATAGCCTGGGAATGCTAACGAGGGGCTGTGCGAAGTCTCCTCCATAAGGTTATGTTACCTACGAGTTGGTTTTATTTAGTTCAAGCAAACCACAGCACCAAGGCTGGCTGGTTCCAAACCAATGTGACAGCGTTGTCTAAAAGAGTGTGTGTAAGGAGAAACCGCTGCAGCCAGGGTCAATAACCAAGAGCCCTCCCCAGGGCCGGCTGCCACGAGCGTGCCGAACACACCTTCTGTGCCAGGGCTGTGGTACAACCTGGTGGATGGAGGGGCAGGGGACAGGGATGTCAGCTCTGGGGGCCCACCAGACCGACCTTCCTCACTCCTCCCTTGTGGAGGCTGCAGCATGAGAGCTGGGATCCCAGCTTGCCATTTTAAATGGTGGGGGTCAAGAGGCTCCTCTCAGCTTCCTCCCCAGGGGTGCGTGTTGGATCCCACTTATTTCACACCACAGCAGGGAATCAGTGGTGGGTCTTGGTGGGCATTTGCCAGGCAGGAGGCTCTGTATGTGCTGCCTTCCCTTCTCTGATTCCCCAGGAGGCTGGTGTCCTGCTCCCTGCCTCTCCCTGCCTGCTGGCATCTCCACAACATGGAGTTTTACACCACCTTCCACTCGCTTACCCCGACTCACCATCACGTAACTTACACCACCATTCATGTCACCTCTGATTCTGGCCCATAACACGCTGTGTGTCACCTCAGCAGAAGATTAACCAGAGAGAGCTTTAGAGCCAGCCAAGCAGAAAGCAAAGCATATGTCATCCCTCCTTATGTTTACAGGAGAGAACATCACCTGGCATCACCAGAGACAAGGGCATGCGTTGAGTGATCTCCTCCTTGGGAACCAGAGCCTGACGGTGCTACAGCTCCAGCGGTCCAAGGACATTGCCCAGCAGCCCTGCACGCAAGATGCTGCCCATGGAGCCCCTCCGCCAGCTGTACCCGCAGCTGGAAGCTCACCTGAGCCTTGTGTCAGAGCACAACTACATCCACTTCCGTTGTCTTGGGACTCAGAAGGGGAACATACATTTCTTCTGGGCACTGCTAGCATAAAACCACCTGAAAGCAGAGCCCAGCCTGATCTATCTGGTCCTAAGGAGACTTAATTGCTGAGCAGTTTGCTGCAAACTTGCCATGAAATGCTCGTCTCCTTTGCTGTGTCACCACGCGTTTGGCACTCCTTTTCATCACAATCTCTTTCTTTAATGTCTGTGTCTTTCAGAACTGCTTCTCCTGCAGCGTTTTTGCTCTTGTATTTCACACCTCTGGACAGCTCTGGTTGAGATCCTTCAGCATTGCTGCTTCATGAGCCCTGGGAGAGCCACGGTTCTATTCATTTGGCCCAGAAAGCTATTGTGGATGGGCAGGGAAATGCATTTATCCTCATCTTTTCTAAGATCTTATTTCTGTTGCATATCAGACCCTAGCTGGCTTTTGTCTCAGTCACAAGAATACACAGTACCTGAGGGCTCATCTCTCTACCCAGCTTTTAAAGTGTTGTACTTGTCTCATCATCGTCTCATGTCTGCAGGAGCTAGTGTGTCAGCGTAATGTGTTACTACCTGCCACGGTGCCTGCTAGTTATCTGCTCCGTCTTCAGTGTCTGCAGCCCCCCCCAGCTCATGCAGTGACAGGCTCTGGGAGAGGGAGTAGCGGAGGAGCCTCCTCCTAGAGACCAATTGCCTGAGGGCTGTTTTAATATCCCCATGGAACAAGATGTTCTGCTGTTATTTCTGTCACAGCAAGGGTAGGGATTGTTGCAGGGGACCGTCATGGGCACCTTGTTGATGGGGGTGTGCTTGCATCCATGAGGGATCTGCATTAGCATGGTCAGGAGAGCAATTCCTGCTGCAAGTAATGTTACTCATTGTGTGCCAGCAATCACCTGTACCTGTCAGTGCTGGGGAGGAATAAGCCTGTGTCTGGTTTTTGGCCATTCCCCAGTGCTCTCATGCTTGCATGGTGGGCCTTCCACCTTTCCTATGCTCCTACAAGACCGCAAGGTGGGTATCCAGTCAGGGATGCTGAACCACACCAGGATTTGTAAATCCTCTATCTGCATGTTAGGAATCTTGAATCCAAATTTCAGAGAATCGTGGAATGGTTTGGGTTGGAAGGGACCTTAAAGCTCATCCAGCTCCAACCCCTGCCACGGGCAGGGACACCTTCCACTAGAGCAGCTTGCTCCAAGCCCCTGTGTCCCACCTGGCCTTGAACACTGCCAGGGCACCCTGTGCCAGCTCTTCAGTACCCAGGTATGTCTGAGCCTTTCTATCACATACATGTGCCATTAGTGCTGTTACCAAATGATGGAGGCTGGACACAGCTGAGGACTCCGGGTACCAAACCCAGAGATTCTGGCCTCCCCAGTTTGCACTTAAGAGAGGCCAAAGGTGTCCAAGCATGGCCACTGGGGTGTCTGTGTGCACCTCTTATCCCTACATCTCATGCTTACATTAGGCTTAGCATGCATCATCCTATGACTTAGGCAAGTACAATGGGTTAGGCACATGCACAGATACTCTTCCATCTGTGTGGCTATTAGGTCTGCTCTTTATCTAAGTGGGAATATGAGGGTCTCTGGGCTTGTAGGAGGTGTCATGAGCTGGGCAGTGGGCAGGAGAGGGTGAGCTCATGCATGTGTCCATGTGCAAAATGCCTGACACACCTCTAATGAGGATGATTGAAGGCTGCGTGCAGGATGATACAGAACAATGTAAGTAAGTGGTTTTAGTGTCAGCAATCTTCAAACTTGCTGTCAAAGGGAACATTTAAACGATTTTCCTGCTACTCCAACGCATTCAGGTTATATTTATACCCAGAGAAAACTGGTGCTATAAATGTCAGGTTTGGAGAAGGGCTGGCTGCATCCATCAGAGGAGGAATTAGAAAGTAAGGAGGAATGATGTATCATTGCCAGCTGACAGACCTGTCTGGAAAGAAAATCCCTGGGGCCTGTCCCATGCCAAGGTATGTCCCATGGTGGGGTGTCTGCCCTGACACCCTGCCTTCACACACTGTGAGCGGAGCAGGCAGGGCTCCAAGCTGGCCAGAGCTTGGAGGGGGGAGTGCCTGAAGCCAGCTTTTAACAGAACACAAGAGAACTATAAATAATGGTGAGAATTCTGCCTTGCTGGAGTGAGAATAAAAATAAAAGAGATTGCAAAGAAGCCCTGCCCTGCCCATTGTCCAGGGGCTTCATGCCTCCTTCTGGGTTTGTTCTCAGTCTAGCAGCTTTCAGTGGTTTCCAGCAACCCTCCACAACGTCCCCTGGGTCTCTTGTCCCTGTCTCCAGCCTGGCTGGGCATGTCCCCCCCCGGCTCTTCTCAGCAGCCAGGCTGTGCATGGGGTCTCTCTCCTCTGGCTTGCTGCCCTTTGTAAAGCCCTGATGGTCCTACTGCCACCCCTGCAGCTGGAGGGTGGGCTTGGTCCTTCTCTGGCCATGGGGACTGGCTCTTCCAGTTGGGTCTTTGCTAAAAGTGCTTGGTGAGGTGTCCCTGCCCATGGCAGGGGGTTGGAACTGGATGATCTTAGGGTCCTTTCCAAACCAAACCAGTCTGTGATTCTTTGAATCTGTGACTGCAGGCTCCCAGCCCCAGCACTGCCCAGGCTGTCAAGTTTTCCAGAGTACCAGTGGGCAGTAAGGGACCCCCATCCTAAATAGCCCCTCTCAGGAATTCCCTGTGGAGTGATAGGGTTCCTCTCTTCTGCAGGGCATCTCCATGCACCTCCTGCCACCCCCCATCAGAGCTGTTGCCTGTTCCCCAGAGGAGGGGCAGGTGAGAGGCACACACTGGGGAGTCTATCAGAAAAGGAGGATACTGGGGCTGGAGCAGCATCAAGTGTGTGGCTCCTGGGAGAGTGGAGATTGAGGACTTGACCCTTCTCATCCCCCCAGGGATGGCCCAGCACCTGCTTTTGAGGGAGTCAGACCAAGCAAAGCAGTGCAAGGTGCGAGTGTGTGCGAGGAGGTGAGATACATGCAGGGAATTTCAAAGGCTTTATATGCAATTCCTGGGATGTCTGCAGAAAGCCAGAGCTTTCAGAAAGTCCTTCAGGATCTCCTGGGTAATGAGGGATGGTTCTCCAAGAAACGTTGGCTGTCCTTTGTGGACATCCTCCTTGCGGCTCAGAGTTTGGAGACCCCTCTGCGCGGAAGGAGGTTTGGATGCTTTTAGACTAAGGTTCCTTTCCCAACTCTGACATCTGTTCAGTAATTCTGTTCATGCCCAGGCTCTATGACAAAGCCAACAAACTGTAATTTCACTGCACCTGGGGCATGGAGAAGACCTTTTGGTGGTACATATGTTGCAGTACAACAGCATCCAGGACGTTGCACAGCTCCGGTTTTGCTGTTGACGTAAGAGGGCTTTGTGAGATGGCACATCTGATGTCAGTGCCTGACCGTGAGCCAAGACTGCTGCTGCTCGCAGAGCCCCTATCCAGCACAACCTCTGATGGTTCAGCTGTTCAAAGCATTCGGTGGAATTTGCTTTTCCCCAGCAAACTTCCTGCCATATCCCATCTTGCCTGCCCTTTTACAGCCAGTGCGTAGCCAGGGCGAAGTTGGAATAAATAGCACGTTGTTGGATGTTGCAAATCTGACAGGAATATGATGGTGTATTCAAACCTGATCGAGGTTGAGCTGGCAGTGGCAGGTGAAGCAGCAGCACACGGCTCCTACTAAACAGAAATTCAGCTAATTGCTGGGTGAACAGAGGAAAAAAATTGACATTCCCAAGAACCTTTCATATATCAGCAGGAAATCATTCCTAGTTCAGTTAATGGGTCATGTTGACAAGTCTGAGAGCAAGAAAAGGTCAGCACTGCAGGGTGTGTAGGAGGGCAGGAGGGGATTCCGGTGGCAGATACAACAGGAGCTCATCTCTGCCCTGAAACCTCCTCCAGCTTTGCCTCCCCCCAGCCATCCCTCCATAGAGCGTGTGCTGACACTTGTGTCTCCTGCCTCCGAGCCATATGCCCTTACAAACTGCTCTGGGAACGGAGCCCATGCACACCACTGCCAAATCCTGCACTCTGGAAAGGCAAAAGCACAGGTCTGGGTCTGGGTCTGGGTCTGGGTCAAACTGCATCGCTGCAAGACCTTCACCTTTGGGTTGCACCTTTGGGGCTCATCCAGCCAGGATGTCTGTGGGGGAATTGCCTTTGCCCACCCTGCTGGCACCTGGTCAAGTGCATCCAGTCCAGGCACCACTTCCACTGGGGTAACAGCCCCTCTCCCATCACAGCAGCAGCCAGTCCCTTGCTGCTCTATTCAGCTTCACCTGTCAAAGTGAGTGGAGCTGAAGTGCCTGCAGGTAAATGATGAATTTGGATGATAAGCCTGGCAAAAGAAGGGGGTGAAAGGGTAACTCCTTCAGTCTGCAAGAGCTTGCTGGGGAATAAAGCTCTGATTATTGGTCTAGGAACCAAAGCAGAAGGAGAGCCAGAGCCAGAAGTAGTACATTGGCAAATCCAAAATAGATAAAGAGGTCTAGAGAGCAGTTAACCACCATGCCCCAGGGCTGCGGCCATTCCCATTTCCTGGCATCTTCATTATTTCTTCACCAGAAAAATAATGTGGTTTAGTTCAAACAAAATTTGGTTGAGGGAAGTGTCAACGTCAGGGTGCCCTGTCAGTATTGTGGGCAGCAACACGTACCCTTGGGGCAACTCTATATGGACTGATCATTGCTCTGCATGGAAAGGGGGTAAAAGTGTCATTCAAATCAAGTCATTTTAGTGCCTGTGGCCCACATTTGTGCTATCACTACTGCCTGGGAGCAGGGAGGAAAGGGGCAGGAGGTGAAGGACTGTTCAAGCAGCTCCGGATCAATGGCCGTCATAGGTGCCAGGTCCTGACACTGCAGCTGAGCATTGGTAAATGGTTTGGGATGATGCATATCCTCACCCTTCATCTGCTTCTTCCTCCCAGCACAGGGTGTTTTTGGGACCTCCCTTCAGTGGTGCTGTTGAGTAGGACACAGGATGGGCTGAGTGCACAGCACCTCCCTCCATCAGAGCCCAGAGCAGATGCCAGGGAAGAGGAAAAGAACCCAGGCAAGCACACACAATGTTCCCCTCGTTCCCCATCCTCCCACAGTCTCAGGGACTTCCTAGCCCAGGCATCATTACCGCGTTATGAGTACCCCTCTGCGGACTTCTCTTCCATCCCATTTGCCCTTGAACCTGTAGGGATTTTTAACCTATTTTTGTTCTCTACACACTTTGCGCTTCCCCTTCACAGGTCAAAATGAATGCACAGCAGGGAGGTCAGGAAAGCCAGCCTCTTCTTTTCTGATGCACCAAGGAACCAGAGATGGGACTGAGAAAGGATTCATGGAGCCTGGGAACATTTGCATGGCATCAGATAGTGGAGGCGGCAGAAGGTGGAAGAGGGCTGAAATAACACCCTGGAGACTCTTGTCTGGATTCAGTGTCTGTCAGGGTCAGGTTTCTGCAGTAAAAAGCAGAGAGAATTATTGTTGCCCCTTCAGGAGGAACTGGAGCTCCTGTGGGGGAGGAGAAGCACCATCCTGCCCCATCCCCAGCTCAGCCCTGGCTCTGTAGCATAGGCCAGGCAGAGGGATGCTCCCCTGCCACAGCTCTGCACAGCAATGCTCCTCCTGTCCTGGCGTTCAAGTGATCCCAGCAACCCCAATCAGCGTAAGGAGCTGCAGGGCATCACCCCATCCTATGCCATGGGAGGAACAGGATCCCCAGGAGCACTGTAGTGTTCTGGGTTAACCCACATCAGCACCTGGTTTGCTCCAAAAGGGGAGAAGCAGCTCAGCCCCTGTCATGTTCACTGCCCGGTTCCCAGGTGGCTGCATGAGAGGATCAGGACCCCATAGGGTCTTTTCCTTTCTCTGCTGCAACCTTGTTCCATTCACGGGGCTTTTGCTTTCCCACTGCTGCAGACAACCAGGGCACTTCCAGCTGCTACCAGGCAGTCCCAGTCGCCACACCTCAGCATGGGGTTGACGTAGAGATCAGTGCTTTCTCCTGACCTGAGCAGCTCATTGAGTCTTATCTTTGTTAGACAGAGGATGGATCAGAAAGCCATACTTGTTGGTTGTAATCCTATTTCAGAAAACACTCTGAATCCTGTGTCCCTAAGCAGGGAGTTCCTGACTCAAGCTTCTTTCCCAGCTGATATGCCAGACACCTCTACCCTCCCCATGGTTTACCCACAAGCATACCCAGCACATGGATCAGCCCAGTACAATGGTTTGTGCAAGGACCTGTAATTCCAGTTGTTTGCTCCATCCAAAGTAGGGATACTGGGCTGGGAAAATGAGGAAATAAGAATGTCTTCTCAGCCACAGAGCAAACCACAGCATTGCTGGAATAGCAAACTATTAGAAAGGGCACGCCTGCAATGCGTTTTCTTAGGCAGGGGGTAGCAGCCCCCAGGGTTGTCCCACAAGACCTCTCCTGGCCTGCCCATATTGCTGCTCCCACAGCTTCAGAGATGCCACGGCAGAAGTGAGCAGCTTAAAACACTTCCACACCTCTTTTCTTTCCATGCACTGCCACTCCCTTGCTCTTTTATTCTTTTCTTGGTTACTACTATTGCTGATCTGCTGGAAGGAATGTTTCCAGAGATCCCTCCTGTGCAATTCACTCAGTGATGTACTGGTGCCCATTTAGGAGAGGACACTCCCAGATGCTTCACTACTGAGACACACCAGAAAGATGAGCTAATGGCTTCACACAGCAGCTCACATACCAAAAGTCCTGGTGGTCCCCATCCTCAGCCAGAAACCCTGGGATGCAGGGCTGTAAAACTGGGTACCACAAAGAGAATCCCTGAGGACATGTGGAGATGTGGAACTGTAAAACTCATCCATGAGATTTTGCTTGAGTTCTTGCTCTAAAATGCAAACGTGGCAGCAGTGGCCCAGAAGCTGTGAAAGCTGGGGAGTTTTCCCCCCTCTCAACCCTGCAAAGCCCAGGGGAGCTTGCCAGATAGTCTGGGAAATCTCATTTTCCATCCGTGTGACAACTGGGAGTGTCCCAGAGCAGGGCAGGGAACGTGGAGCCTTTGCAAAGTGCAGTGGTTTCATTTCTGAATCTCATAAATCTCCTGCTGGGCTCCAAAGCAGGTGTGAAATGCAGGATGCTGCTCATGTGTCCTGGAGCTGGGCAGGGTTTACTCCATGTAAGTATACAAGCCTCTGGATGCACATTTCTTATCTCAGCAATAAGATTTATAGAGGCCCTGAGATTTATCCTGCCTGTAAAATTCTGTTAAATGAAGGGATGAGTTCTGCAACGACCATTGTTTGGGAATGTATTGTGTCTGCTGGCAGAAAAATGGCCACGTCTCTACTGGATCTCACACGACTGCCAGGTGTGCTGGGACAGCAGCAAAGATGCTCCGAGGGGATGCGAGGAGCCAGATGCTGCTGTCAGGAGGCTGCACCATCACCCACCCTGGCCCTGCGGAAGAAGGACACATGGGCAAGCAGGGGTATCCAACAGGTAGACGAAGGAAAGGTGCTGGGAAAAGCAGCTCTTTGACCACGGAGAGAGTGAGGGGCTCAGTGTGTGAGCCCAGCTGTGCAGCACGGCACCGGCTCAGGGCAGGCGATGAGTGAGGACATCCACTGCGGGACTAGGGCAGGTTGCCATTGGAAATAGCTTCCTGGAGGGCAGGCTGTGGGCACCCGGCTCCCCAGGCTGGGCTCATTAGCTGGCAGGCTCGGTGCTGCTGGGGGAGGCGGTGCCGGGGCTCCCAGCAGAAAGGAGCTTTTGATGGAAACGAAGATTTTTCCCTTTTGAAAAACCTGGAGTCGGGGAACGAGCCTTGGGGTTACCATGGAAACCCATCGCTGAACCGCGCCGCAGCAGGAGACACAGCCACAGTGTCTCTGGGTCTGCCGTAGCGGAGCCGATGCGGGTACAAGACACCACCGGCCGCATCCCTGGGCTCAGTGTGAAGCGACCACGGGCAGGAGAGGTGGAAAAAGTGGTCATCTGCTGGGATAGGTTTGGTTTGTGATGGTGGGAATGGGTTGAGGGTCAGGACACGGCCATGCTCATCACTGGCCACCAGCCCTGTGCGTGGAACAAATCAGGGTGAATAGCAACAGTGAGCAGCACGCCGCAGCCTCGCTGCAGATTGGCTGCGAGTTATATCTCGAGGAAGATCAATAGAACAAATTACAGCAGCAGAACAATATGAGAGAGCCCTGAAAACCCCAATTACTGACAACCTAATTAATATGTTTTTAAACAAACATCATGGCAATACTTCAAACAATATTAACATGGCCACGGAAGTTTCCCAAGGATGGCAAAGCAATTCTTTAGCCCGTGGCAGTAGGGTGGGAAAGAACCCAAAACAAGAGGGAGAATGGCAAACAATTGCTTCGATACAGCCACAGCTGGGGAAAAGCAAGTGCTCTTTCCAGCACAGAGCACAGGGACTCCCATATGCTACCCCAACACCCTGCAGGGCTGCAGATCAATAGTTCTGTAGAAAAACAGAGAACAAGGAATGGAGAAGAGAAAAAAAATGGTAATACATGGCACCAGCTCCTCCAGCCCTTCTAGGAAGAATGTAACCAAACAAAGGGATGCCAAGCCCAGCCTTCCTGAAAGGAATCTGACCTGGAAACCTGACCCCCGAACAAAGCAGCATCCTTGGAAAAACAATGACACTTAAATACACCGCTGATTGCTCCTGGGACTCCTGACACAAGGTAGGAGTGAAAGGGAAGTCTTAGCCTAGCCCAGCACAGGAAACCTTGTACCCCAGCTCAGAGGCAGCGGAGATGCTGACATGCAGCCCTGCATACCCCAGGATATCCCAGCCTATCTGGGCACATCCCAGAGCACCAGTGAGGTCCTGGGCAGCTGGAGAAGCTCCTGTGTGAGCGACAGCACCAGGAGCAGTCCTGTAGGCCATATCATCCATTGAAGTCCAATTGGATCCCTCCCTGAGAACAAACCAGCACCGACACCTGTGGCCTACAGATGTTCAATTGCAAACAGAGGGAGGTGTTCTCCTGCTTCAGAGATGACAAAAAGAAAAAGATAATAGCAATTGCTACATGAAGGAACTGGTAGGAAATCATCTGACAACACTGGAGCCGTGCACCCACCCACCAGGCATGGGATGAAAATAACCAGCGTGCAACCAGGCCCTGGGGCTGGCAGGGGGAGCAGGACCCTGGCACGCTGCACCGACAACAGGAACATCCTGGGCCCCTGGGATGAAGGGATGCTGCGTGCCAGTGAGGTGATGCCATTGCTACGTGAACCGATGACACAGGAAGCAGGGCATCTTACATGGGTGCTGGAGAAAACTGGCATTTAGTGTGGCTCTTGGAAAGCTTTCAAGCTCTATGGTAGAGTGAGGTCTCAGCCTGTTTCATATAGTCTGCTTCTTAAGGTGCTTCTGGCCCCTGCAAGGAGGGGCTAGGTCAGAAAGAAGACTAAGGTTCAGTATAATCCCCCCCCCAAGAAGCCTGCTGCAGAAAGTATGCATCAGTGGAACGTGATGTCCTGTATTGTATGGGCAGAGAAATGTGGAGAGCAATGTATTGAAGTGGCCAGAAGCCCACCTCTGCAGTCCTGGCCTGTGCAGTGTACTCCTGCTCTGTGCAAGGACAGCTGCATGGCATGCAGGCAAAAACCCACAAAGGAGAGGGAGAGCTATGTGAAGCCGGACACACATCCACATGCATCCACATGGAGCTTCCACTGCAACCATTTCACATCAAAAACCCCAACAGTTGCCAAAACGGAGCTCACAGATGGATCTACATGGGATTTCTCACGAATGATGCTCTGGAAAGTTTCACAGGAGGATGTAGGAATGGTTAAAGCAGCTCAGACCAAAGGTTCTCTTAACCCAAGTGCTTTGTGGAGGGTATAAACCCAGATCAGTATGATTTCCCTCAACCCTTCTGCCTCCTGCCATGTGGTGCACAGACAATTCCCAAGGTGGTGGCTGTGTTTTGTGCTCAGCATTTTTTTTCTCCCAAGAATTTCTGCAAAGGCGTTTAGTGCTGACATGCATCTTTCAGACCGAGGGTGGGCTCTATGGCT